AACAGACGGACAGACAGGTAGATATAGACAGATAGACAAATAGACGGACACAGATAGATAGATAGTTGGATAGACAGACAGATAGATAGATAGAGAGGGAGGTGGAAACACTGCAGCAACTCACCCACTACGTTCAGGCGGAAGGCTTGGCTAATCTTGGGCTCTGTGCTGACTTGGCACTCATACGTTCCGGAATCGCGAACCTGTGGAGAGCTCACTTTGAGGGTCCACTCGTCGGACCCGTCCGAGTGCAAGGACTGGAAGCGTTGGTCATTAGTGTACGTGAGAATTCCCACCGTCAGGATGTGCAGGTCCCTCTTGCGGATCCACGACACGGCCCTGTCGCCCAGGTTCCTGACCCTGCAATGCAGGTAGGCACTCTGCCCCACTGTGGTCGTCATCTCACGGCGGGTCGAGTTGTCGAAGTAAGGCTGGGAGAAGGGCTGCTCCCAGTACGGGGCATGGTGCTCTATCACCGCTCCTGCAACAGGGGGGATCGCAGACTGTCATTCCGCTCAGCATAACTCATAATCTCCGACGGCAACAACAGATGCATACATAGTTCTTGTAAGGAAACCTGAACGTGACAGATCACTTAGAACACTTAGATGGTGATGGAAAGCTCATGTTGAACACTCTCTTGAAAGGGTGGAAACTGCATTCGTTTCGTTTAGTATAGAGTCCAGCTCCTCTATGTTGTGACATGGAAACTAACATTCGAGTTCTATAAAAAGCAGCGATCAGCTTTTCAATAAGAACTCGCAAAATGGAGTGAGAATATTAGGAAACTATCAAATTAAATATTTTTGACTTACTGTAGTTTAAGAAATTTCCATACCTTCTTCCTTACCAGGCAGAAATAATCGCAAACGACTAAACAGTAGAGACTTGGCATTTCACTCGATCTGAGCACTTGTTACTTCCTGTTTGGCCTCAGCACAAACAACAATAATTTTTCTTAAGGCTATTAGCCGATTTAACTTCATAATACATGTGTGCCGTTTGTTTGGAAGGAAGGAACCAGACGTACACCTATTATTTTTATGAGTTTCACACATTCAGAAAGTTATTTCAATATTCTGAGAAGGGTATATAAATTACGAATATTTACATAAATTAACAAAATTTTTTCGCAAATTTAAACA